CAAGGGCACTAGTCGGGGGAGGGAGGCTATGGGAGGGTGCCATGTGGGAAGTGGGTGTAAAAATAAATTAATTTAAAAAAATTAATAAAAAGTTCTTCAAAGCATAAAAATTTGCTCCTTAATAATTGGTGAATGTGAAAAACGTTACCATTGAAATATACCTGATGACTTTATATCCATGCTCAGATGCCACGGAGCTCAAAAAGTAACGGACTGTGACTAGTAATAATCAGATATATAGAGATTAGAAATGCATATGTATTTTAGTGTTGTGTTGAAAATGAATTTTTCTGTATGAAACTGTGTATTTTAATAGTGAAATGGAGATCTTTTTTTAAAGTTTAAAACCTCATTTAAATTTTGTCTTATAGGCTTTATACTGAGTAAAATATTGTATAACTGTATTAATTCAACTGTAAACCTAAAAATTTACAGCCAATTTTGAAGGAGATGCATCTTAGCTCTGGAAATTGTTATTGAAGATGTCAGTGCTCTTGTAATGAATTGCTTCTTCTGATTGTGTGGTTATTAAATAAATAATTAAAAAAAAGATAAAAAAAGATTGGGATGTTCTGTATGAAGTAAACACACATAGAAAAATCAATACATAATAATTGAGTTATATTTGAGGAAGAAGCATAAAAATTTGCTTCATGTTAATTAGTAGATATGAAAAGCATTACCAATGAGATCTTCCTGATGACTTTATATTCATGCTCAGGTGCCAAGTATCTCAGAAAGTAACCGACTGTGATACATAGTGATCAGATATATAGAGATTAGAGACATGTGCAAACATCTAAGTGTTAGTTGCATTAAAAAAGAGTCTTTCTGCCAGGCGCGGTGCCACAGGCCTGTAGTCCCAGCACTTGGGAGGCAGAGGCAAATGGATCTCTGTGAGTTCAAGGCCAGCTTGATCTACATAGTGAGTTCCAGGACAGCTGGGGCTTACAGGGAGACCCTGCTTCAAAAAGACCAGAAAAAAAGAGTCTTTCTGTATGAAACAGTATATTTTAAAAAGAAGTGGAGATCTTTTTTAAACGTTAAAACCTCATTCAATTTTATATCTTAAAGGGTTTATACTTAGGACAATATTTATAACTGTATTAATTCAACTGTAAACTAATAATTTATAGCCAATTTTGAAAAAGATTCATCTTAGCTCTGGATATTTTTACTGAATATGTCAATGCTGTTGTAATTGAAATGCTTTTTCTAATTATGTGCTTACTAAATAAATAAATAAATAGATAAAAATTTTAAAAAATGATATTAAATCAGAACAATGCAACTCCCTCAGGAGTGTGGGCCAGAAATGAGGCTGCTGTTCATTTTATCTCTGTTAGATCACTTGTCCCTTAGAAAATCTGTTGACCTCTGTAGATGTAGACCTTGAACAGTAGGGAGTCATTGTTAGTTTAGTGCAGTAATTTGAAGTTTGGTCTATGTGGCTATACCTAGGGTTGAATAGACCAAAAATTATGTGCATTCTTTTCTAAGACTTTAAAATGTGTGAAGTTGCAGTGTTTTAATTTGATTGGTATTTCTGAAACTTTTTTTTTTTTTCTCAAGGATATGCTGAAGAATGTTCTAGTTGTTGTTTTCCCATTGTTCTCTGCCCTGTCTTCCTTCTGCCTGCCCCTCCTTGGAATTTCTTAGTCCTTCCTACAGGCAAGGAACTTAGCCAGCTCTGAGACTATAGGCTGTTTTTTCCAATAGAAATGTAAAGGTCTATAGATGTCCATTGCCAGGGTTTGCCAGGGCTTTGGAGAAGTAGAGTCATCCTGAATATTTGGTTCTTAAATTCAGTCCCCATTCTGGTCACAGATTTCTGAAGTCAGATGTTTTTCGATGAGATTTGATGTTTGAGACAGGGTCTCCTATATCCCGGACTGGCCTCAAACTCATTATATATTATGTAGTTGAACATGGCCATGAACTTTTTTTTTCTTTTGAATATCTTTTATTTTTTGAGAATTTCATTGTAACACAGAAAAGATTATTAAATATATACAATTTTTTTTTGAAACAAGGTCTCCCTGTAGCCCCCAGCTGGCTTTGGACTCCCTATGTAGACCAGGCTGGCCTTAATCTCACAGAGATCCTCCTCCCTCTGCCTTCTGAGTGATAGGATTAAAGGCTTGGGCAGGAGTATGAAATATTTCTTGACTGTAACTGCTCCACTCCTAACTTCCCCCTTCCATTTGTATTACCACCCTCCCATATCCCCCTCCCAACTTTATGTCCTCTCCTTTTTCTTTTTGTAACCCAATTAGTTACAAAATTAACCAATTAGTGCTCCCTACTGTTAATGTTGACTGATCTTGTTGGCTTAATCTTATACAGGTCTTGTCTAGGTCAGTCGTAGCTGCAGGGAATTCATGAGTGCTGTGGCCATGTCATGTCCAGAAGACAGCTTTCACAGCACCCCCACCCCTCCATTCTCTGGTGCTTCCATTCTTTCTACCTCGTCTTGGTCAGGGAGGAGGGTGTTGGTATTTTTGTTGAATTTAGGGCTGAACACTAGTCACTCTCAGCACTTTGACCAGTGCTGAGTCTCTTTATTAACTGCTACCTACTGCAGAAAGAGACTTGTTTGGCTACGGTTGGGAGAAGCACTGATCTTTGGATGTAACCATAAATATTTAGAAGGCAGTTTGACTACATGTCCATTTAGCAAACTACCAGTTGTAGGTTTCCCACTAGAGCCTATGACCTCTGGACTCTGGGTTTTTGACCAGTTTTACAGTACCAGGCATGAATTCCTTCCTGTGGAACAGGTTTCAAATCTAATCAGAAGTAGTTGGTAACCTACATAACCTCCATGCATTGCATCAGTGGGCACATCTTACTTGGCATGGCCTTGAAATTCTGATCTTCTCTGCATCCATCTCCCAAGAGCTGGGATTACAGTCCATATGGTGCTATAGTGCTGGGAATTGAACCCAGGGCCTTGTACATGCAGGACAAACACTCTACAAACTGTTTTACTTCTCCAGATTTGATATGGAATTCTATATAACTAATTTCTAGTCCTTGTACAGTATATGTTTGTATCCTAACACTAAGACTTGGAATGTATTTGCTTTAAAGAACTGTAGTGAATTAGGGTATCTTTATTTTATGACAGTCTTGACAAATTTATCATATCTGAAGTATATTATTTGCCATATTTATTCTTTTCTTTTTTTGGGGGGGGGTCTTTTTGAAACAGGGTCTCCCAGTAGCCCCAGCTGGCCTGGAACTGACTATGTAGACCAGGCTGGCCTCGAACTCACAGAGATCCACCTGCCTCTGCCTCCTGAGTACTGGGACTAAAGGCATGAGCTGCCATGCCCACCGCCGTACGTATTTGAATAATGCCTTTAGGTTGGTAGCATTTTCCCTGCATGACATAGGAGCCCTTTGTGAAAAAAGAACTGGCCAAGCAATGGATTTCAGTCTCTCATAGCAAAACAGAAGTTTTTTCTTATTGACTTAATCTTTCTTTGCAGCAGTTTTCAGAAATACACTGAACTAGAATTTAAAGACTTTTATGTTTCTGTAGTGTTGAGCTTACTGAGTGCCTTAAGAAGTTGTATACTCTAAGTGATTTAGAGGTTGTATCCCTCCATTGGTTGTAGTGAATGAGGCAGATTTGGATAAGTCTGTAAAGTTCAAAGAACTTTCTTATGGCTCTATGTGTGTGTGTCACACCTTAGGAAATTAGTTTCTAAAATCCTACCAACAAGTATTTAGAATTCTCTTGTTCTATATCTCAGGCATCCCAGTATGTCTCATTTCTTATTTTAAAACATGCCCACTTTCCAAATTCAATATTTTATTAATTTCACCCAAAAAGCTCTCATAAATGTCTGCTTTTAAATAATTGCAAAATGATTTGGTTTTATTTATGTAGTGGAACTAAGACATGGTATTCATCATCTCTACTTACAAAATTTTATAGATGGACTTTTGACACTGAATGATGAGACCCTTGATGATGACTGTCTGGTTCCAAACTTCCACAAATGTGAAATATGTCTGCTGTCTTTTCCAAAGGAGTCCCAGTTTCAGCGCCACATGAGGGAGCATGAGCAAAATGACAAGGTATGAATTTCCGAAAGAACTCAGAATGTGGACTCTGAAACTGGGGGTGGTATGACATCAACATGTAAAATCAAAATCGTCACACATCTTATATGAAAATTTTATCCTTTGAGAATATGCTCAAGTGAATGTGTTGAAATTATGAGTGGACAAATATTTTAAAAATAGGACTTTTTGGTAGTTTCAGTTTTGTTTAAGGACGCAGGATGGTATATTTAAAAAAATATTTCATGTATTTAAAATTTTTTTTATTTTTTGGTCTTTGAGGTAGGTTTTCCCTGTAGACCCATCTGGCCTGGAATGCACAATGTAGACCAGGCTGTTCTTGAACTCACAGAGATCTGCCTACCTCTGCCTCCCTAGTGCTGGGATTAAAGGTGTGTACCACCATGCCTAGCCCTATTTTATGCATTTTATTTTGTGTGTATGAATGCATTGCCTGCCTGTATGTAGTGCACCTGTGTCATGCAATGCCACAGAGGCCAGAAGATGGCATCGAATCCCCTGGAACTGGAGTTACAGATAGTTGTTAGCAGCTATGTGGGTGCTGGGAACTGAACCCTGGGTGAGCAGCCAGTGCTCTTAACTGCTGAGCCATCTTTCTAGCCCAGGATGGTATATTTTGAAGTGCTTTTTTTCCACAGAGGGATTTTACTCTTGAGTTGTCTTTATGACATTCTAGAAGTTTTAGATCCTATTTAGCAGGGTGTAATATTGTCTATTTGGGAGTGGGGTGGAAGTGGAGATGTATTAAACATGTGATGTAATCACTGAGCTCCTCCTTCTAGCCCTTGTCCTAATAAAGATCCAAGCCCTTTTATGAACTATGTCCTTCTAGATATGACATAATAGAAATAGAGGAAAAGTGGCATTAAACTACAATTAAAAGGGATTATTGACTTTTCTTTCTTTGAAGAATCTAAACTAGTCAGCCACTGGGACCAGAATATACCATATTCGTCTCTTTAGAGAAAGAGAGTAGAGAGTGATGTCCCAGGCTTTACTCTTATATGCTGTGCTGATGGAAGGCAGCCCAGGGCCTAGACTGCCCTTGTCCAAATCAAGGTCTGACAGGCTGGAGTCTTGAAGCTTCAGAGAGAAATACCAGCCATTACTGTATCTTTTTTTTTTTTCAGAGCTGAGGACCAAACCCAGGGCCTTGCACTTGCTAGGCAAGTGCTCTACCACTGAGCTAAGTCCCCAACCCCTACTGTATTTTTTTTATAAGTAAGGGGGAGAATATATTCCATTTAGGGGAAACTTTGGACTGAGAGAAGCAACTCTGTTGGAATCTAGAGAAAATTTTGTAGTTAGTTGTTTCACTAGAAGTATTTTGTTTATAACAGTGAGTCAGTCAGAAATAGAAGGAAAAGTCAACCTAATAGGCTGAAATTTCTCACATATTGTTTGCATAGAGACTACAGCCCAATAGATGTGTTTGAAGTACTTTACATTAGAAGTATTTTCCAAGTTGGGTATTGTGGTACTTGCCTGTAATCCCAGCACTTGGGAGGAGGACATAGGATTGAGAGTTTGAGGCCAGCCTGGACAAGATAGCATTCAAGACCCTTAAGAAAATAATTTTTTTTTTTTTGCATGTAATGTCCTTTTAATACTTTGACAAATTCTGTCAGCAACTTTACCATGTTCCTTTTGAATACATTGACTCAGGTCCAGAAGGAACTGTTTTAGAAAGACTATCTATGGATTATGGTACTTACTAATATTTTAATATTTGATAAATTAATACAGTAACATTTAATATTTAATAGAACATCCATGGAAAAATTGTATTTCAGTGCTTTGTTTACTTTTCTCTCAAATAGCCACACCGATGTGACCAGTGTCCCCAAACATTTAATGTAGAATTCAACCTGAGGCTTCATAAATGTACACACAATGCAGAAGACCCTGTCTGTCCTGTGTGCAACAAGAGGTTCTCCAGAGTGGCCAGTCTCAAAGCACATATTATGCTCCATGAGAAGGAAGAGGTAATCATTTTCACACATATTTTCTAACTGCTTGTTAAAACACATGTAATCATTAGCCTGGTTTTTAGAGGCTGGCTTCAAAAGTGTTCTGTGTAGATTTTAGAGGTTCTTCACATCTCTTCATAGCTTCTTCTGAAGTCTCAGCTTTCTAGAACAACTCCTGGTACCACTTCTACTGCCACTGCAGCTACCTCCTCTTTGTGTTACTCTGCTCATTCTACTGAAGGTGAAGATCACAGTTAGGCAAGAAAAGACCACTCAGGAGAAGCCTTATATTGGGCCTGATTTTGTAATACCAAGGGGCAGTACAGTAGAATATTTTCTGGGTGATTTGTAAAGTCAACTGAACAGCCTGGTCATATAGCTAGGAGGGGGTTGTGGCATGCAAATCTATGATTGTAATTTGCACCAATCACAACACAGCTTTCAGGTCCACCAATCACAAAGCCTTACATGAGGACCAATCACAGGCCTTGCATTGTACCAATCACATTCTGTGGAGTTAGTGGAGGAAGTGCTCCCTGCTCTGACTTGAGTGAGAAGAGCTGCAGGGATCAGGGTCATCTAGAAAATACCAAGGCTTGTGTTGCCTGGAGTGAAGTCTTCCAAAGCTGGTGTAATTTGTCTGGAATGATTGTGAGTGGAGCAAGGCCTCCGGAAGTAGGAGCTATGGCCAGCAGCTGAAGCTGAAATGTCCTTGCAAGTTGGAACATGGCTTCTTTAAAGGCATCTGTGAAATGTCCTAAGCAGTAGGTTGCTGTAGGGATAGTCTGACCAGTGGGCAAAAGAGAGGCAGCTCTTTTGACAGCTTTCCACTCAAAGCAGACTGATACCTGTTAATCAAAGGGTCAACCAGCTAGACCCAAACAGCTTAACTTATTTGAAGAAGTGAACATTAAAGAATGTTTACAATAAAGACTATTAATACTAACATTCTTTTTTTCCCCCTCATAATGAATATTGAGCCTCTAGAGCTCATGCATGCCAAGCAAATGCCCTACCACTGAGCTGTGTCCAAACCTTTAAAAAAAATTTTCCCACTTTTGAGATAGGGTTTCCCTAGGTTTCCCAGACTGGCCTTGAATTCACTCTGTAGTCCAGGCAGGCCTTGAACTTGCAATCTTCCTGCCTTAGCCTCCCAAGTAGTTGAGATTATAGGCCTGCTCCTCTAGATCTTGGCATTTATAGTGTTTAACTCTTACAGTGCTTAACTGCAAAGCCTGTTTTGGAAATTGGAGCAAAATCCAAGTGGGGGCAAGTGCACAGATTGTCCAACATGCTCAGAATTGCTGATTGCAGAGGCCTTTTGGGTGTGTGGGTTCATTTGCACTCTCTAGAAGCTTATGTTTGGAGTGGATGTGATTGTTCTCCTTGAGGGTAGGGTCTTTGAAGCAGGTGTTTTGGAAGAACAAGGGGCCTGAGCAGTGGGCACGCTGATAAGAGTTTACTGGTAAACTGTAGTCCAGGCCAGGAAGTAAAATTCAGCAGGGTGTGTAAATGTTCTGAGGGTAAGATGATTGCGTGAAGGTGCTTGAAATTCTGCTGGTACTTTGTGTTCTATCAGGCCTAACCATAGAGCCACAGAATAAAGGCCACAGAGGTGGCCTTCTCCATAGGTACACTTCCTCTATTTTGCTTATTTTGAGACAGGGTCTAACGTATACCAGACTGGCCTAGAACTTCTGTGTAGCCAAGGATGACTTTGAGCTTCTGATCATTCTACATCTATCTGCATAGGAGGTTATTGGTATACTCTACCACACCCAATTTGTGTGGTGCTGGGGATCAAACCCTCAGCATTGTACATTTTAGGCAGGCATTCTACCAACCAATCTACATGCCTTAGCCCAGTTATACTTATGCTAAACCCAGGATCTGTGCAGGTCACAGAAGAGTTTTCCTGCTTTCTGTTCTGGTGTTTTGCAGATACACTTTAAAATTATGCTTTCCTTTGTGACTGGAAAGAGGGATAGGTAGTCATCATTTTGAAAAGCCTTTGGGTTTTTACATATTATTTTCAAAATCTTCCCTTCGTCATATTTATTCTTCTACAAACTTTGTTCACACTCGCTTCCAGATGGCTACCCAAAGTGGAGAACGCAGTTGTTCTCTATTGACTCCATTTGCTAGGGTCCCTGTTCTCTTGCCATGGGGTCGCCAAGGCCTTGGGATTGGCACTCTCTTGGATCAGCTCAGATCATAGGAGGGCTTGAGGTGGTAAAAAGTTCTCTTGAAACAGGTGTGCTTGTTGTTTATAAATTGATTTGAAAATAACCTATAAATACATCATATGTTGTATTTTATGTTTTAATATTTTGTTTTTTTATGTGTATCAGTGTATTGGCTGCATGTATGTAAGTACACCTGTGTCATGCAATACCCACACAGGTCAGAAGGGGGTGTCAGATCCCCTGGAACTGGAGTTAGGACAGTTGCTAGCCTTCATGTGGGTGCTGTGAATTGAACCTATGTCCTTTGCAAAAGGAATCAATGCTCTTAACTGCTGAGCCATCTTTCCAGCTCACACCTTTTATTTTTAAAGATTAGTTATTTTTATTTTATGTGTATGAGTGTTTTGCCTGCATGTGTGTAAGTGTACCATGTGTGGGCCTGGTGCCCAGGGAGGGCAGAAGAGGAAGTCAGATCCCTTGGAACTGGAGGTAAAGGTAGTTGTGAGCTGCCATGTGGGTGCTGGGAACCAAACCTGGGTCCTCTGCAAGAGCAGCAAGTGCTCTTAACCACTGAATCATCTCTCCAGCCCCTCACAACATATCTTAATATGTGTATTTATGAAGTATAATTGACTTTTCAGTTTAATATGATCCATGCTAGAGTTTGTATTTTTAGAACACTGCAAACTAATTTTTCCATTCTGTTTTGCTGAGATAATATTTTTAAATCCTTAGACATCAGTACTCTATTAAATGCATCTCAAACTAGTGAAGAAAAATTACTGTAGTCTCTAAATCCCTTAAGACTATTTCCTTAAAATTCACATAATTATTGAAGTTTGTGTTATATATATTGAGTTTATTGTTATTTTATTATTTTTGTTTTTTTGAGACAGGGTCTTACTATATAGCCCTGACTGGCCTGGACCCTGATATGCAAATAACCATGCTGGCCTCAACCTCACAGAGATCTGCCTGCTTCTGCCTTCTGATTGCTGGGGATAAGTGCGTGTGCCACCATACCCAACTATTTATTGAGTTTAATCACTTCCCTTAAAAGGTGCTACAGGGTGTTTGGGAACAGCAGATGCCACCCTTGAAACGCTTTGCAGATCCACTGGCTCACAGGGAATCCAGACACATTTGTTGATCTCTGTGGCAGTATGGATAGTAAACGGAGTTATATAGTAGGCCCTGGACTTGCAAGGGAGGAGCAGTGTTCTGTAGAGCTGGCTTGGGGTACTTAGTGCATTGTATACCATTTTGGAGTCCACACAGAAGCTAGAAGAGTGGCTCCTGTGAATGCCAGGGCCAGGCAGGACAGTGCAGTGTATTGGAGTAGGAGAGATTGCCAAGAAAGAGGCGTCTAAGCTCCGACTTAGTGAAGGTGTTCCTATTCCAGGAGTCCTGGGGCTGGAGAGAAACGTTATACCTTGCATACTTTGGCTCTTTAGAGATGACCCATCTTAGCTGATTAAAGTGTTGTGTGAAAATTTCCCCATAACCTCTGCTGGCCACTCAGCATCATCACAGTTACCTAGGATGGTCTAGGAGACTTGATGCTACTTCTGATATGGAGAATGCTTTACAGTTTTGAGTACTGCTGTCCCAGGGATATCACTAAGCAGGCATTGCTCTTCTTGCCTGAAACCTCCTCAGTTATTTATCTCTGGGATATGGAGGGATGGGAAGAAGGTCTTTCCTCTTAGATGGTTAAGTTGAAAGCAGAGGGACAGGGTGGCATATCATGGCTCCCTCTGGCCCTGGTGGTGTACTCAGTCCTCCCTTCTCCACCTGAGTAAACTGTACGGAAACTAACATTTTCACACAGGCATTCCTGAGTGAATATGTGTGTAATGTCCATGTAGATTGCTTCTTAGGTGTACTAATCTCATCATTTGGTGAAAAAGTAAGTGAAAAGAAGGTGGGCGTGAGCCAGAGCAGCTAGAGAACAAGGTGGAGAGTGGAAAATGTTGGAAGTCCAGTTCTGTCTCGTAATCTTGAAGTGCTGGGATTATTAGTAAAAGAAAAATATTTTATCCTGAACATAGGTCAGGGTGAAGCAAATAGGGATGGATAATTTTTCCTTTTTGGTAATGTGCTAAAATTAATATTTATTGTCAGTAAGTTACTAATAATAATATAGTAGTTTATTCATGAAGTTATTATATACTAATTTAAATTCATTTAGGTTGAAATCACTGTTAGATTGCTTAAGATATTCCATTAATTTTTACCTTTTTCTGCAGCAGAGTTATAATAACAACCAGTTATAGTCTTAATTTTAATGAAGTTTGCATACAAGATTGGTGTAAACAGTGATTACAAGAAATACTGATGGAAACAAATAGTAGGACTAGGAGTGCTGGTCAGTTGGTAGAGTGCTTGCCTTGAATGCATGAAGCCCTGAGTTCAATCCTAGCACTACATAAATAGGTTGTGGTGACATAGGCCTGTAATCTTAGCACCGAGGAGGTAGATAATGGAGGATCAGAAGTTCAAGATCATTATTGGCTGTTAATGAGTTTGAGACTAGCTGGGTTATGTGAGACCATGTCTCAAAATGAACAAACAAACACAAAATAATCTATTTTGGAACTAGAGAGATGGCTCAGGACTTAAGAGCACTGGCTGCTTTTCCAAAGAACCCAGGTTGTTTGTATTCCCAGCACCCATATCAAGCAGCTCACAACTGCCTGTAACTCCAGCTCTGGGAATCTGTCACTTCTGGCCTTGGAGGGGCGTTCACAGCTCATGTGCACAACACACACACACACACACACACACACACACACACACACAATTTTTTTAATTTTTGTTTTTTTATTATTTTAATTTTATGTATATGTGTGTATTGCCTGCATGCAGGTAAGTGTACCTGTGTTGTGCAATGCCCGAGGAGGACAGAAGAGGCTGTCAGATCCCCCTGGAACTGGAGTTACAGTTGTTAGCTGCCATGTGGGTGCTGGGATTCGAACCCCGGTCTTCCCCAAGAACAGTAAGTGTTCTTAACCACTGAGCCATCTCTCCAGCCCCACGCTTACACTTTCTTAAAATCTTAAAAACGTGATCATTTTGTGATTTGGAACTGAAGTATATGCTCACTGATAAACATCTTTTTTACATTTTAGCAGTTCATTAGAAGGTCATGGCATAAGTAAATACTTCATATGAAACTGCAAATGGATGCATGGATTGAAATTCTCCTAAACCAGCAGTTGCCACTGACATAATTATCACTGCCATGTTCTCTTTGTCATCTCTGCATCATTTCATTTCACTTTGTCCTTAAAGTAGAGTGACTGCTGTCACCCTTACTGTCTTTTTAATTGTGAGCCTGAGCCTTGAGTGGCCATGCCAACTCTCCAGCCCTGTCACCCTTCATTGTGGAGGCTGCAAGCCCACAACACCAGGGCTCATGCGGTTTGTTATAGGCAGCCCTGTGGCAAAACCAGACCCAGCTCCTCTGTGCTAGCTCAACACTGTCTAATTGGAATAGATGGAGTAACTGCCTTCTAGTAGCCATACTGAAAAAAACAAAACAAAATACAAAATCCCTCATTGAGCAGGTAAGATAAATTTGTCAAAATGTATCCAAATGTAAACTATTCAAGGCATAAAGACTTGGGAGCTGTTTGATGGTTTTGGTTTGGGCAGTCTGTGAAGTACTGTGTGCGTCTCCTGCAGTTCAGCTCACAGCAGTCCAACTAACCATGTGAGGTGCTTGGCAGACTCATCTACTTAGCCTGTAGCCCAAACTAAGAGGATGATGAGGTGTCTCCATTGACAAATGCATCAGCTGTCGTTGTGTTTGATGGTGTTTTATAGATGATAATCATACCTGAATTCTGACACTTGTGTTGAAGCCATTGTTTTTCTGAAGCTCTCACGAGACATATGGACCAGTTAGTTATTAAGTGTCCAATAGCACTTTGATGCAGAATTTGTTTTGCTTGAAAATTGTGGTGCCAGTAGAAATTATTATTATTATTATTAATTTATTTTTTTATTTTTTTAAGAGTACAATGATTTTTATTTGCTAATGAGTTTTTAGGCTAGGTTTCTTTCTGAAACATACTTCATCGTATTAAAAAGCAAAGGCCAACTAGTCCTCAGATTCTGACCCATCTTCATCTTGACTAATCTGGAAATAATGAAGTGTCAGATGCAACCACACGAAGCCAGTTATGAAGATTGTTTTCTTAAGGTTTACCTTTTAGAGAATTGTTTCTCAGAAACAAGAGTGATTCTGTTCTTCAAGTGTTCAGTGTGAACAACATTCCCCAGATTTGCAGTTTTTCCATTGACTTTAACCTTCTCCCACAGAAATTGTTTAAAATTCCCAGAATCAAAAATTCCATCTTCTACTGGATGAGTATGGTCTAGATTAAACCATCAGGTTGACCGTTTTAGGCTTCTTGTCTTTCTGTGGTACCATCTTGACGGCCAGCCGTAGGAAGAGCAGAAATTATTATATTACCTTACAGTTTGGACACATTGTATTTTTAAGAAGTAAAGGTGATGTTTGTACCAGATGAAGTGCACTGATTGTTCATGGCACCAGTTCTTTTAAGGGGCAGTGGCTTGGAAATGTTCCTTTTCCAGAACCTCATCTGCTCTGAGTGTGGGGATGAGTTCACGCTGCAGAGCCAGCTGGCAATTCACATGGAGGAGCACCGGCAGGAGCTGGCGGGTACGCGAGTCCACACCTGCAAGGTCTGTAAGAAGGAGTTTGAGACGTCGCCTGAGCTGAAGGAGCACATGAAGACTCACTGTAAAGTTCGGTATGGGTTGTTCCTAGACTAGCACAGTAAAAATCCTGTGTAGAATGACTGAAGTACTTGGTGCTCTAGAACGAAAAGCCTCCAAATGTGAGCACACAGCTGATTTGGTCTAGTGTTGCACTTGTTCTTAACATGCTTAGGTCCTAGTCCATGGCAGGGCAGTGCAGAGCTTAATGGGAGATGCTAGGCCATGTGGTAGAAATGCTTAGCCAGTGATATAGTCTGAGAGCTGAAGAATAAAGTCCTGGTTCTGTGGTTTAATGGGCAGCTAGTACAGTAGGTAAAGAAGGTCCACAGTGCCTAATTAGTACCTTTCATGTGAGTTAGATTAAGAATTCCAATGGACCCAACTGGCTCTTAGCATGTACTCAAATTATGTAAGTGGGACCTCATTTGGTCCTTACAAACACCTCTGTTCAGACAGCCTACTTTCATGTCTCCATTTTGCAGATGAGAAGAACTTGATTAGTTAGCAGGTAACATTCATGAAGTTTCACAGTTGGTAAGCAAAGAGTTTAATTTAAGCCTGTTGTGAAAGATTGGATTTAGAGTTCAGAATCATAACTCCCATACTAGTATTTGGACACATTTATTTATTTTTGGTTAAACTTTAACGTGTTTTTCAGATTCTTGTATTTTTACCTACTCTTACATGTTTCCTGATTTTTTAAAGTAATTTTTAATTTATTCTTTGACATTTTGATACATGTCTCTGTATTTTCATTATACTCTTATCCGCTTCTTTTTTCCCCTTCCTGCTATCTCTGGAACTCTTCTCCTTTCTAATATTTCTCCTTCCTACTTTCATGTCTTTTTTTTGTTTGTTTGCTTAATGGCCCACTGAGTTTAGTTAAGGTTGCTGGCATGTGCATAGTGTTGGGGTTATTTACTAGATCATGGGCAACTTACCAGTGACTACACTCCTGAAGAAAAGTGACTCCCCCTTCCCCAGCAGCCGTTAACTGCCAGTAGCTCCTCAGCTAGGGGTGGAGCCTCCTGTGCCTCTTCCTCAGCCATTTGGAATGTTGATGGGCTCAATCTTGTGCAGATCTTGTACAGTTAACCATAGCTGTTGTGAGTTCATGGGTGCAATAGCCAAGTCCTGTCCTGAAGACAATGATTCACAGCACTTCTTCCCATCCATCCTCCAGCTCTTACATTTTTTCTGCTTCTTCTTTCCCATGTTCCTGAGCCTTGAGGTGGGGGAATTTTTGTCTCTCTCCTGACCTGGAATTTGCTGTGTAGATCAGGTGTGAGATCCCCCTGCTTTTGCCTCCTGAGTGCTGGGATTAAAAGGCATGGCAAATTTTTGTTTCTTAGAAAGAAGTAAAGCAGTTCTTCCTGGTTATTGTGCTTCAGTTTGCTGATAATGATGATCAGTTATACTCACAGAGCTGATTTCTGGTGGATTTTTGTTTTTGTTTCTGACAAGGTCTCAGCTGGCCTCAAACTCATGGAGATCCTCCTACTTTAGGTTCCCAGAAGCTGGGATTACAGGTACATGCCTCCAGGCCTATCACTGACCTGATTTCTACAGATGACTATAGAAGACAGCATAGCAATTGTTTAGCTGTTGTGTTATCATTTCAGACTGCCACCATTCAAGCCCGAATGGTTAGGAAATGTCCATGTTTTAAAATAAGTCTCACACCAGTTAATTCACAAAGTTCACGAAATATGTAAACATTGTATATCTTGTAATATACTCCTAGATGCTGTATCTTAGATATGAACCGAGCACGTGGCTCCCTACATCTTTTCTTTCCCTTTCATTTTGTCTATTGCTGAATAATACACCTAATACACACTATTTTAGTTCTTTGTTTTGTTTTTGTTTTTTTTTTTGAGATAGTGTCTTGCTTTATAGTCTAAACTGTCCTTGAAATTGCCATCCTCTTGCTTCTACCTCCTGAGTGCTAGGATTATAGGCATGGGTAACTATGCCTGGCTATTTCAATGGGGTTTCATTTAAAAATGTAGCATGGGCTTGGAATGTAGCCCAGTTGGTAGAGTACTTGCTTACCATGCATGAAACCCTGGGTTCAGTCCCTAGCACTGTTTACCAGATGTGATGGTACACATCTCTAATCCCAGCAGTAGGAAGGAGGAGGCAGGAGGGTCAGATGTAATCTCTATCTCTCTCTCTCCCTGTGTGTTTCTCTCTTCCCCTCTTTCTCTCTCTTTGTACACATACACACATACACCAGGTTTTAGAGATGATTGGAAATGTGTAGGTGGTTACTATAGTCATAGATAGCCCAAACTTCTAGGTATCCTGGATTGAGGGGCAAAGTAGGCAGATGAAATTGTGTCTTTGGGGAGCTGTCATTTGGCAGAACCAAGTGAGTCGGGTAGTGAGGGTGGCGGTTTCAAAGTTAGTGATTGATGAGGGTTGAGGTAGCTCTTTCTCACAGGTCTATCTGAGGAAGACATTTGATGGGACTCCAGTGAGGAGCAGAGGCAAGCGAGGCAGAGGACAGCCAGGCTGAGGGGAGAGCAGGAGCCTAAGTCCCAGCACTGAGCTTCCTGTCTCTGAGACCCAGAAAGGAGGTCAGTGTACTGGATGTGGTGGTACATGTCTGTACTAGCACCTAGGAGATGGAAGCAGGAGGATGGTGAGTTCCAGACCAGCTTGGGCTACCTAGTGAGACCCTGTCTCAAAGAGTGCTCTTGGGGAGGGAGAGTGTGGGGTGAGTGTGAAGACTTGGTTCACAGTTGTAGGCTGTAGAGACTTTTCAGCAGACTTATGCCTGTAGAGGGTTTATACAAAGGAACAGCCTGCCCAGACTTGATGTTGCTGTGACTGCCCTGTGGGTAGGAGGGCAACAGTTCCTCCAGGAGACTGTATAGGTGCTGTGGCTGGGCAGTACTATCCTATGGTAGGTCTGGTGGCTAGAAGTTGACATGTTTGAAAGCATTGAGATGTTTCAGAGTAAGACCAGCAGCTTTTGGAGATGGATTTGAAGAATCCAGTGGGTCTGTAAGATTTATACCTGTACACCTGGGGAGTTTCTGTTTCTTGACATGGAAAGAACAGGTTGGAATGGCACAGGAATTTTTGGATATGTTGGGTGGAGCTGCTGCTGGCCAGCTAATCACCAGGGAGGACAAGTAGAAAGTCAGCTGTCTAGCTGTGTGGTAGGAGATAGAGGTTTGGAAACTGTCAGCATCCAGGTATTGTTGAAAGTGAAGGACTGGGGGAGAATATGGACTTGTTGATGTACAACTTATACCATGGATCTTTGTGCTGACCAGACCAGTAAAGCTTAGTCTGAAAGAGACCTTCCGCCTCTGCTCCCAATCACTGTTGGGATTTGAACAAGCCAAGCTTCTCTTTTTACCAGGAATAGTCAGGCATGAATTGTATGTCACAAGATTAATAAATGTGTGCTTTTTTGTTTGTGTGTAGGACATACAAATATATGTTTGGTTTTCCATTACAACATGTTCTGATGACCAGCCAGCTAAACTTTGTGGTAGTATTTTCACTTTAAAACTGTAATGTGAGGGAGATGACTTAATGAATGTTTTTTCCCCCCGTGTGTCATTCTAGGACGTCGGGTACAAGATCTTATAATCGGAACATTGACAGAAGTGGCTTCACATACTCATGTCCACACTGTGGAAAGACATTTCAGAAACCTAGTCAGTTAACTCGACATATAAGGATACACACAGGTATGAGAAACATTTGCTTTCAGATGATTTATTATGTGGCTTGAAGGGAAGAAAATGTGCCTTGCTGCTAGCTCAACTTATATTAAGCTAATCCTGGCTTTTTTTATAGTTTGCTGTGTGGTCTTGGTGAGATTAGCTACTGCTTCTGATTTCATTCTCATTTGAAAAGTGGAGATTTTGTATCTGTCTTATAGTTGTCCTAAATTATAAATGGGAAAAGTACATACTGGGCTCATAAAAAAGTTGTTGATTTATGGTGGGCTCCAGGCAGCGGGAGTTGATAGCACTGTTTTCACTTCTTGACACCTGTAATGAAGTGCAGCACCGGGCTAATTTGATCTGAAGAAACAAAGGTGGCAGCGCCAGGTCTCTGTGCTTTTACAATTCTGCCTTCATGAGACAGACTGAAAAATGTTAAGGTTCATCCTGAAATTTCATGTCACACTGGGCTACAGTGTGAGACCCTTCCTCATAAAACCAACCAACTAATCAAACAAACCAACATTAAAGTAATACAAATCTCATTTCTTCTATGCCTTATCTTGCTCGTGTGTTAGTCCTGCTTGCATATTTAAAATGAATACAGTATTCACAGCTGAATGTTCTTTGCCATTTTGTGAGACCCAGTTTATACTATTATATTAATGCACCCATTCTTCTCTAGGGAAGGTAAAGGAAAACTGCAAATATTTATATATTTAAAATTAAAATATGAGCCATGCTTTGACATTTTTTTTTTCCTTTTCTGATTTGATTTTCATTTATAGTGTCAAAGTAATGAGATCTTGCAGCTGTTTGGCTGGCTGCTTTGTCAGTCAGTTCTAATTGTGCTTTGTTGTTTTTATCCCTTTTTGGTCTCTTAATGAAATCTCTTATATAGAGTATTATAGAAGCACTCAGATAATTTTATAGCTTATGTATATGTCAGCATAAAGTTCATAATTTCAGAGTATCAATTTATAGTACTTAGAGCAAGGGAAGAAGAAAGTAATGTCTTTAAAATGCTGGGCTGGGGATGTAGCTCAGTTGATAAGAATGCTTGCCCATAGAATATATGAAGTCAGGGTTCAATTCCCAACACAGTGTAAACTAGGTACAGTGATGCATACCTGTAATTCCAGTACTTGGGAAGTGGAGGCAGGAGGGTCAGAGATGTTCAAGTTTGGCCAGGTGTGGCGGCCCATGCCTTTAATCTTAGCACTCAGGAGGCAGGAGCAGGCAGGTTTCTTTGTGTTTGAGGCTAGCCTGGTCTACGTAATGAGTTTCAGGCCTTATAGAGTATTAAGTTCTAGTTTATTTTTCTTGAATGAAAAAAATGCTTGGGAAATGTTAAATCCCGTAATGAAAGTAGGGCATATAAAGAAAAGCAGAGTCCTTCTCATACAGATTTCCCAGATTTTATATACCTCTAACATTTGATAACTGTCCCTTTTAGATTCGTTTGCTGCACATCCATAAATATATACATCGGAAGGACACTCCGTGCCTCAGGCACATTATATGTTACATATGCATGCCTATGTGATTTATGGAATTGACCTTATGTCTTCTTCCTGTTGTTGAGCTTTTGAGCATACATAGTGATTTTGGCTGGCCTCATAAGTAGAGTGGAGTGCTTAGGAAGGCAACTTGCCACAGTCCTCAGCAGCTTCTCACTAGCCTGCAAGCCTTGAATACAGGGCAGCCTGCCTCCTAAGAAGAAGGTTCACATGGTCTTTGCATGGCTGTACCACATGGTGCATGTGATGATGTGATGTTACCTTCTGGTAAGCCACTCCTATGTGAACCCCATCCAGCAGGGGCTGGGTGCATCCCAGGTGGTACAGGAAGAACAGAAAGAATGCCTCTGGTAAGGGTCCCATGCCTGGGACCCACATCTCTCATTGAGCTTCCTAACTGCCTGCCCCTCCCCAGTGCTATCTCTTCTCCAAGATCATTCTATCTCAGTCATGAGTTCAGAGAAGCAGAGATATAGCTGACTATATAATTCGTAGGGAGTAGAACTTTAGTAGACTGGGCATTAAACTAGCTTGCAGCTAGATTTTGGTCTAATCAAATTTTCTCTTTTCAGTCATTCATTTAGTACATAAATATTTCTGAATGGTAATACATGTGAAATACTGAAACTAGAGTCATGAATGGGACAGTTAAAACCCTTTTTTTTTTTCTTGTAGCATGTTTTATTGTGAGAGAGAAGTTGAATGATAGGTGAACTGTCAAAAGTCACTGATTACAGGTCATATGAAAGGAAGTAAACAGAGAAGGGCATTGGAGATTGTAGGATGGACATGGGAAATTTTGAAGTCAACTAGAATTGATTGGAAAGTCATCTTGGAGAAGGTGATTTTGTTCCAGGGTCAAAAGAACATGAGGGAGCAAGCTTTGTGAGTCCTCAGGAAAGGCTGATCTAGACAGAGGTGACGGAGACCTACAGTGTTGCTGCCTCTTCTGTTGGAACAGCAGGAAGTGAGGTAGCAAGTGCGTGGTACAGGAGACAGCTAACTGAAGAAGACTAGGAGGTCCTGGAGGCCTTGAACAAAATGGGCTTCCTATGGTCTCATTTAGAAAGAATCCCTCTGCTGAGTTGAGAGTGGCTCACACAGGGCCTGGTGGACTCAGTAGGGCTGGTCAAGAGTTACAGTGACGGATGGGGCTGTGCTTTAGGGCATGTAGTAGTTCGGAACAGAGAGCAGGACTCCCCTGGGGGTTTGCTGGTGTATTGAGTAGGCTGAGAGAAAGCCATGGGAAGAACTGCTGGGCTCTGGAAGGACAGCACTGTAAGAACTGGCCCTGACAATTTGCTTGGGAACTAAAAGTTTGTCTGAGACAGGTTGGTGTTGAACTTCTAACCTGTATATTTGAGTATTAAAGTTCCTGGGAGATGTTTTGGCTAGAGGATAGGTTTGGAGGCTTGAGTTTGGGTAACTTGTAGGTTTCTTCTCTCTATTATCCTAAGATGTTCACACAGTGCTTCTTTTTCTTCCTGCCTAGGTGAAAGGCCATTCAAATGCAGTGAGTGTGGAAAAGCTTTTAACCAGAAGGGTGCGCTGCAGACCCACATGATCAAGCACACGGGTGAAAAGCCACATGCCTGTGCCTTTTGTCCTGCTGCCTTTTCTCAGAAGGGGAACCTGCAGTCCCATGTGCAGAGAGTCCACTCAGAGGTGAGCATGGTGTTTGGGCTCCGCACTGTCCCATAGTGTGCACTAGACATCTCTTGAGCTAGGATCTAGCCTGAGAAATTGTCTTTCAGTTTCGAAAAATGTTTATTGAGTTTATGTCTAGTAACCTATTTTAGAAAAAAATACACGGAAACTTTTGTTATTTTTGTTGACAGATCTTGCTGTGTGGCCTTGGCTGGCCTGGTATCTCAGTGTTTAGCTCAGGCTGTCCTTGCACCCACAGCAATCATCCGGCTTCATCTTCCTGAGTCTGGAATTATAGGCATGCATCACCATACCAGACTTCTTTGGGCTGATTACATGTGGAAGAATTGCATAATGCTGTCTTTCTTAGTTTTAAAAATATTTAAACATAATAATACCCTTTGCTAGCTATGACCTGTCAACCTTAGTAATGTACTTCATAAACTTGAAGTAGATACTCTCAAATGTAAGAAGTCGAAAGAAAAGAAATAAAGCAGAACAAAAAGTACTGTTCTTATTGCAAGTGGTGCTGTGCTGGCATATTGCCCTGTGGCATATTGTTCAATAGACCTGACTTTACATACTTACTGTGCTGCATGGGTCAGCTCAGATGATTGCAGTTGATTGTTAGCTGTAGGTCCTGCTAATTTGTAAATCCTCTGGATTAACCTATCAAGTAGGTTAACCTATGTTCTTAGTAATGTGTCTATTAGTTTTAATGTCTTAGTTATGGCTGAATTGTTGAATATAAAGAAATATTTATTTAACACAATACTTATAAGTCAATTTATTGTACAATGAAAACTATCATATTTTTTAAAGGAAATTTTTTTTTAATGTTTCCATGGAGTTAAACCTTAAGTACCACTTTAGTGATTGGGGAATTAATAAAAACTTAAAAACTGAGTGACTCATATTTGTAATTCCACTCAGGAGGCTGAGGCAAGAAGATTGTGAGTTTGAGGGCAGCCTAGGCTATGTAGCAAGAATGTGTCTTGAAAACAGCAGTAATGGGCTGGAGAGATGACTCAGTGGTTAAGAGCACTGGCTTCTCTTGCAGAGGATCCAGGTTCGGTTTCTAGTACCCACATGGTGGCTAATAACCATCTGTTACTTCAGTTCCAGGGATTTTGATGCCCTCTTCTGAACCCACGCATTGCATAACATGGGCATACTTACACACATGCAGGCAATATATTCATACAACATAAAGTAAAAATAATAAAATATTAAAAAAAAACCCAACAGTAACAAAAGCCAAAACAAAACCCAATAAAACTCTCTTAATAAGAAACAAAGATAAGGCTGGGGAGATAGCTCAGCCATCAAGGGGTTGCTCTGTAAGCATGAGGAGCTGAGTTTGATCCCTGGAATCTATATTTAAAAAAAAAAGCCAGGCATGGTGGCATGTGTTTATAATCCCAGTGCCAAGGAATTGGTGATAGGCAGGCAGCAAGCCTTGATGAATCAGCAAGTTCTAGGCCATCGAGAGACCCTGTCTTGGCTAGGTCCTGAGGAATGGCACCTGATGTTGTCTTCTTGCCTCTACATGCACACTCACACATGCCGGTGCAAGCACACACACACAGACACACACACATACAAAAAAAAAAAAAAAAAAAAAAAGGTAGATATTGTCTTACATCTTAGAAAAATGGCATAGATTCTAAAATGAAAAAAAAAAAAAAACAAAAAAACCTCCCTGTGTAATTCACCTGATTTTTTTAAACAGATGCAGAATTCTGTTTGCATCAGGTTATTTTAAAAAAATTAAGACTTAGAGATAGTGGTAAGGTGCTGATACTGTATATAGTTCAGTCTCAGAAGAGCACTTTGGGGCAATATATGTAAGTCATTCTTGTGAGTAGATTTGAGTAGAGTTGATCCCTTGGGAGTAGTTGTGTTTGAATAGCACATATTTCAGAAATACTTCCCTGGGACCATGGTTCTGTGAGATACCCTAACCCCCACCCTCCCATGTGGAGAGAACTCCCACTGTGTCCTGGGACCTGCACCATGATGGTTTACTCTAGAAAGGGCTTCTAGAGATGGGCTTTAATACCCAGTCCTGTGAGTCTAGCCATAGCCTTAAATTGGGTTGTTTTTATTTTACTTTTTACTTACTTATTTTTTTGTTTTGTCGTTAATAAAGCTATTACCTGTTTCAGAACTCTTTGTTTTTTTGAGACAGGCCTCACTATGTAACCCTGGCTGGCCTGGCCTGGAATTCACTATGTAGACCAGGCTGGCTTCAAAGTGCAACAAATAAAGCAAAGTCTTCCAATTTTAGAGAGAACTAGTATTTTCAAGCCAGCCTCATCACTCTATGATAGCTGTTTGGTTTGAATAATAGTGAGAGAATGTTTTGGATACTTTCTCTGCTCATAGATGGTTCTTACTCATTTTAAGGTTCTCAGTAGTCTGTTTCTGGTGTAGTTGTAGTTATAAAAATAATCATTGGTAGAAATCAAACTTGGTAAAGAAAGCTCACAGCTATGTGACTACCCTTCCTTACCTGTGTATTAGGGTCCCAGAAGCTCAGTATTCAGAGTAATAATCATATTTAACTGTTCAGCCATCACTGAGGAACATATTTATCAATCTTAGAAGCTGAGGATATAAGTCACATTCTTTCTTTCTATTATCTATTTATCTCTCTGTCTGTCTGTCATCTATCATCTACCTATCATCCATCTATCTCTCGCTCTGTATCTGTCATCCATCTATCTGTCTGTCTGTCTATTACCTATCATCTCTCTATCATCCATCTATCTATCTATCTATCTATCTATCTATCTATCTATCTATCTATCTATCTATCATCTATCTTCTATCATAACCTATCTATGTATCCACCATCTATGAGCTATATGTATCTGTCAATGCGCCTATCTATGTATTTATCTGTCCCATAACTACATATGTATGTGTTTACGTGTGTTGAGCACATGTCCCAGCACACATGCGGCGCTCCGAAGACCGCCTGCAGGGCCCCTCGTCTCGTCCCACCAAGTGGGTCCCTGGGATTCCTATCTATCTGTCTGTCTGTCTGTCTGTCTGTCTGTCTGTCCGTCCGTCCGTCCATCCATCCATCCATCCATCTATCTATCTATCTATCTATCTATCTATCTATCTATCTATCATCTATCTATCATCATCTATCTATCTATCTATCATTTATTTTTGGACAGGATCTCCCTGTAGTTCCAGCTGACCTGGAACTCGCTGTGGCTATGTAAACCAGGCTGGCTTGTATTTCACAGAGATCTGCCTGCCTCTGCCTCCTGAGTCCTGGGATTAAAAGTGTGTGCCATCATGAATGGCTTGTTTATTTCTTTGTTTTTGTTTTTATTTTTACTTCAGACATTTCAGTTTTTTAAAAAATATTTATTAATTTTATTTTATGTGTATAAATGTATTGCCTGCATGTATGTGGCAATGCTGCGGAGGTCAGAAGAGGGCTTCGGATTTCCCCTAGAACTGGAGTTAAGGACGGAACATAGCCGCCATGTGGGTGCTGGGAATCAAACCCGGGTCCTCTGCAAGAGCAGTCAGTGCTCTTAACCGCTGAGCCATCGTTCCAGCCCTGACATTTCAGTTTTTAAATGCCATACTTGAAAAGTGTGTTTCTTTATTCCTAGCCACTTCTCATTTACAGAAACACTGATATGTCAACTAATCTTCAACTAGCAATGTTGATTAAAGAGTTGTATCATTAAGTCCAATGTGGTAGCACATGCCTTTAATCCCAGCACTCGGGTGGCAGAGGCATGCTGATCTGAGATTGAGACCAGCCTGGCCTACACAGCAGTTCCAGGCTAGCTGGCACTACCGAGAGATCATTTCAAAAAAAAAAAAAAACAAAAAAAAAATCAAACCAAAGCAAGCAAACAAAAAAGAGTTGTATCATTGATTCTAGAGTTATCTAATTTAAAAGAAAAAACTAGCGTTGAAGAGTTGTATTCATTCATTCTGAGTGGGATGGTAAATTATGATTTGCTGTGACTTAAATACGTTCATCTAATGCTTAAATATTTGAAAAATTGTTTTTCTTTTTTAAGGTCAAGAATGGACCTACCTATAACTGTACAGAATGTAGCTGTGTATTTAAAAGTTTGGGTAGCTTGAACACTCATATTAGCAAGATGCATATGGGCGGACCCCCAAATTCCACAGAGACTGCACATGTTATAACGGTAAGTTACTAATTTGGGTTACAGAAACTTTTTTTTTTTTCCAAACTCAAATCTGTGATTTTTAAATATAATACTTAAAATTGAGTTTAGGACCAAAAAGACACTGTTAAAAGTTTTCTAAATATAGGTAAAATACTGGTGTTTTTTTAAATTAGTGAAAATCAGGTAGTATTGATTTATGGGCTGTCATCTGAACCTATAAAACTAAGAAAAATCAATCAGTAATTTATGGAATTTCCTACAGTCAGTGGTATTGATGTCTGTTAAATATTGTTAATTTTTACATTATAATCTTAAGAGCTAATCTACTTTGTAGGTAATTTCTCCTTTTCTTATATGGCAATGGTAATTTTTCCTAAGTCTTGGCTTTTGGCATACTAATGTATTTTCTAGTATACGTATTTAGAAACAGAATGAGTCTATCTGCACACTCACATATGGACACACAAAAAGCACAAGTGTACACAGCTACATACACGGTCACATATATTTTTGTGTGTTTTTTCTTTTCCTAGGATTTAAAACATTTTTAGAATCTATTATTTTTATTTTATGTGTATGAGTGTTTTGCCTGCATGCATGTAAGTGCATCATGGTGCAGGTATGTACAGTGCCCCTGGAGGTCAGAAAAAGGTATCAGATCGCCTGGAACTGGAGTTAAGGATGTGAATTCCCATGTGAATGCTGGGAATCAAACCCCCAGGTCTTCTGGAAGTGCAGCCAGTGTTCTTAGCAGCTGAACCATCTCCAGCTGCTTTTCCTAGAATTTTGTAGATGAGCTTTAATTGTATTAAGGTATTCCACCTTTTCAATTGATAATAAATAATAAAATCTCAGCATAGGGTGTGGTGTCATTAAAGAGTTGACTACAAAGTACTGATGTCTCAGAATTTTCATGAATGCTGGTAAGTGCAGCCCATGGTAGTTGATGTCCCTGCTGCTCTCAGTCAGTGCTGGATAACATCTGGGTGATAAACACGCGCAGCTCCTTTGTCAGGATTTCTTTCTTTTCTCACACTTCTGTGGTTTGGGATGATCCCTTGGTTTATTCTTAGAGAGAATCTTGTAAAGCATTATAAACTGAAGAATGAGCAATGTTTTAGTCTCAAAAATTCTACTTTTGTATTTACTATTTTAAAACAAAATTATTTTAGTCTGTCAATAACCAAATATTACACTTTTCACCATTTTCTTTGCAATGTGTAAATCAAAAGGTATTTGTACCAAATGATAATCATCATTTTATCTAGGTCATTTAAAAATTTATTCGTTTGTTTTTGTGTATGGGGCGTGGATAAAATAAACATGCATGTAGCAGTCAAAAGACAATCTTCAACCAGTTCTCTTCGTGGGTTCTGGGCCTTGAACTCGGGTTTTCAGGCTTGCAGGGTAAGTGCTTTTACCCATTCATCTGTCTTGCTGGCCCCCTTTTTAGAAATTACTGTTTTTCACCTTAAAAAAATTAATATTCTCAACAAACAACAAATGTAGTATAGGGATTTAGAACCCTGGAGTCCATCCTTGTACTTTAACTTGATGTGCAACAGCATGAGTTAAATTCATATATTCCTTTGAGGACTGCCTAGGAATTAATGTCTAGCTTCCTGAATTGATTCTGTATGTCTCTTGCTTTTCACATTGTCTAATTTTGGCCTTTTTTCTCTACGTTTGAGAGGCTGCTTCAGCTTTATGACTTTGTAACTTTTTCTTTTAACTTCTGAGTGTTATCCCTTCCCCCACCCTATTTCCCTTAGGTCCTTGTTGATGGAGATTGAGCCCAGGACATGGGCAGGAGTCCTCTGCCACTGAGCTACGTACCTACCTGGACTGTTTCTTTTTTTTACAGGGTTTCCCTGTAACCCCAGCTCTCCTGGAACTCACAGAGATCTGCCTGCCTCTGCCTCCCAAGTGCTGGGATTAAAGGTGTGTGCCACCACACCCAGCTGTTTCTTTTTTAAAAATGTTTTTTAATGTGAAGTGAGGCACTTTCCTACAGCATTTGGTCACCTCCCCTCTTCCCTTTTTGTCCCTCTTGCCAGTTCTGGCTACCTGTTTCTATCTCAGAAGACAAAGCTAAGCCTGTGTGTGTGTGAGCTTTCCATGTGTGACTAGTCAAGGTTCACTTTACATGCATGAGACCAGGGAATCTACTGTTTTTTGATGTTTAATTTTTTGGTGTTTGGCAGTTTCATATATTCATATAATGAAGTTTAGTCATTTTTCTCCCTTCATCCTCCTTTCTCATCCCCCTCCTTCCCTTGCTGGAACCCTTCTCAACAATTTCTCTTCTCAACTTTGATATCTTTTTGTGTGTGGCCCACTGATTTTAGAACTTCTTGCCTGAGCACGGATGAGAGGTGATTTATTAGAGCAAGGCAACTTATCAGTGGCTACATTGCTGAAGAAAGTGATACCTCTTCCTCTGTTAATTGCCAGTAGTCCCACAGGGAGGGATGGGACTTCATAGCCCCCATCCATGATGAAGTGTTAAGGGGTCCAACCTTGGGCTCATTTTATGCAGATAACCACTGTTGCAGTGAGCCCATGAATGTGATGCTTATGTCAATGAGCAGAAAACATCTTTTTGCTGTACCCATCCTATGGCTTTCTTTCTGCCCCTTCTTCCATGGGATCCTGCTCTTAAAGTGTGGTATCAGAACACAGAAGACTTTAGTTTGAGGAACTAAGTGCCATCAAAGGTGACTTGATTCTCCCCAGATATTCTTTTTATCTTAATAGAGACAGGCCTTCATGGTTTTATTGACTCACTAAGTGTTTTTGCCTAATGGTTAAGTTCCTTATTGATTCTATGGAGGATGACAAGGGGGATTTAATTATTATTATTTTTTAATTATTTATTTAATAACCACATAATTAGAAGAAGCATTTCAGTACAGCATTGACATATTCAATAACAATTTCCAGAGCTAAGATGCATCTCTTTCAAA